GGAAGGAAGGAAGGAAGGAAGGAAGGAAGGCAGGCAGGCAGGCAGGCAGGCAGGCAGACTGGCCAGCCGGCCGGCTGGCTGGCTGGCCACTGATTCTGTAGAAAAGGAGGGTAATGACTGCTGTTTTCCTCCATATCTGATGCTTCTACTTACCCAAGAGGTGGGACACAAGGATTTGAAAACCTTATGGTACCATTCACACTTTTGCACATCCTTGCCTTTCTCCTTCATGATCTTCAGGCAGCGGTAATAATCTGCAAGGACAGAGGAGAGGCTAATGTCTTCTGATGATAATTGTTCAACTCTTGAAATAGGAATGAGAAATTCACATTGAATCCTTTCTTCATTAAGATGTTTATTGGGTGACTTAGGGCCAGTATCTCTCAGGCTAACGACAAGTTTCTTGTGAGGATAAAGTGATGGTAGTGTGGATAACCATACATAAATGCAAGAAATACATAGCAACATCCATTGTGCTTATTCAAAGTTTAATATACAGTAAAGTTGTAGCAGGTGCATCACGCAACATCTGGAATCAGGTTCTTTGCAAATACTATTACTGTAAATTGTTGAGCTCTGAAGAAATACATTCAGATCAAATATTCCAACCTGAATTACCAGTGGTAGCACCTGAAGCAAAGCACAACTTTTTCTTTGGTTCCTTGGACATGAACAATGTAGTCCTGAGAAGTAAGTTTCACTAAGTACAATGGCAAACTATTCAAGTTACTAGTTTCTTTTTTGCCAGATGCATATAGCAATTTCCCCCCAGCACTTGGGTTTCTTTATCTGTATTTAAAATATGCTACTGAAATGACAAACTGGACAGGCGAAGAAAGACACTCAAGCTTACTTTATAAGCCTTCATGGCTCAGAAGCTGTTCAGCAGAATTATCCTAACTCTTATGGCCACATCTTCTCTTTTACCTACCCAAGTAATTCTGGTAGCAGTTACGGGTCTGGTTGGTGAATGGAAAGCGAGCATCAAAAGGAGCTGTGAAATGGCCAACCCGTCTTTTCTTGCTGGAGTCTTGTGTAGCAGCTGAAACACTCTGCATTTCTGAGAAAGTGAAAAGGAGAGAAAGAGAGGGAGAGGGAAGGTGTATTGGCAAAATATGGAGGATTCAAGTTGATACGCTGCTTGTCCTTTCTCAGAACAAATCATCTTCTCAAAGAAGCCCTCATTCCAGAGATTCAAGTAACTAACCTATCCAATTAATCACTCCCACCGAGGACAAGTAACCATTCCAATGATTCTTACTCCCTTTCCAGGTAGCTGAAGGTTTCTGGCTCAGAAATAGCTTCTCCTTATTGATTTCTCTTTGCTAAGGACCTGCAAAGTTAATAACACCTAGTTCTTATTAAAACATAGTCTTCATCCCAATCCAGCTTGGGACTTTATCCTAGCAGTTTTCTTCTCTTCCAAATTACTTCTTTCAAACTTTACTATGGAAATTGCCCTTCATTTCCAACTTGCATAACCTCCCCTCCTGTTTACTTTCTCACTTGACATGGCCGTCGCCTAGTCATTAACTCTCATAGCAGCTCAGGGTGGCTCCTCCCAACTCCTGCAAGCTGACTTCTTTGAACTCCAGTCCAATCCTCATTTCTCACTTTTCTGCTGTTTATAACATCTCTGCTCAACATACACTATTGACGCTTGCAGAGTTGCCTAATCACTCATCTGGGGTAAATTCTTCATTCTGCCTTCTACTTTCCTTTCAGATTAATTTATGGCAAATTAAGAGCAAATGAAGAGGATGGAATCAGTTGGGGGCCAAAGCACTAGAAGAAGGCCTTAACCATTGTCTCTATCTAAGTTTCCCTCCTCATGGGAGGAATTATACAGCTTCCTGTCAAGAATTCGTAATAAAAAACTTGAGGTGCAAACTTATGTAAACAAGGAATCCCAGGGTGTTTTGGCCACAGATGCTCTGCTGCTTTGTCACAGATCATTTTAATCTTTCACTGTAGAGCCCAAGTCAGGTTGAGGTCCTAGTCAATAATTGATCTCAGACATAGCTAAATAGCATCGGACTCAGAGTTGATTATTATTTGGATAAGAGACCACCATGAAAGCTTATAGCTCTAGGTTACACTGGGAAGACCCCCCTCCCCCCCCAAATTCCAGAAGACAGGAATGACAAATCACATCCATTTTGTTGCCAAGAGTGTGGCTTGAAGGCTGCTTTACTTTTTTTTCTGTACAGAATTCTGAGCTCCCCCTACTGGAGATAATTTGATTAAGATGCATCTGATTATCACTTTGGATGGGACTTTTTTTTTTAAGGAAAAGAAGTACAGTAATCAAAGATTTTTTAAAACCACCACAACTGATTGTCCAAACAGTCATCCCTCTTTAATAGTGGCAAACATACCTCCCTGCATTGGCTTTTAAATATCATACCTCAGCCTGACACCCAACCTCATTCTTATCAATCCCTCTCTGCTTCCAAACCTGTTTTCCCCCTCCAGCTAAAAATATCAGGAAGAAACCTCTGTCTCTACACTCCCCCCCAAATTTATTAATTTATTGTATCAAACAGCTGAGGTGCCTTCTAGCCCCTAGAGAGGAAAAGTGAGGGGGGCATTTCCTTGGTCTGACTCAGGAGCTGGAAACCAGCAGGCCTCAGCTCACCTGTAGCCTCAACCACATCTTAAAAGGCCCCCGGTTTTAATTCATTGCTTTGTAGCCTTGAATGAAAATAATCATGTCAAATATTTAACCGCAGGTTGGGTGGGGCTCCTTCCATGGCTTCCCTCTGCCCCCTCCAATCTTGCCTATTCCTATTCCTGAAAGATTATCCCTGACCAAAAGCAACCCCTTGTCAAAGGAGAGGTTGAATAGTCCTGTACAAGACAGGATTGTCATTTTGGGGGGAACCACAAACAGGAAAGGGAATCACTCTCAGTGCCTTGAATGAGTGCCCTGCCCCATCCAGACCTTTGAGGTGGGGGGGGGGTTGAGGAGAAACCCTTCTGGAGCCAACCCTGGGATAAGACACCACGGGGTAACAGCAAACTAGCCACCTTTTTCTAGAGAATGAACTAGGGTTTACGCTGCTTTCTCCCACCTCAGTTAGATTAGAAATAACTGCCAGAATTTCTGGGAATGGGAGAATATTGTTTAAAAAATGGGCCAATCAGGTGTGCAGCTACTGCTCTGCTGCCTAATGATTGGCTGGAGGCATAGAATCTTCTGGAAGTGGCATAGAGGAAGGAACACATGGGATTCTCCGGTGAAGTGAGGCAACAAAGCAGCTCCTTTTCACAGGATGGTGGAAACATGCCACTCAAGCAGCACTAACTGGGAAACACCGTTTACTCTCACTTTTGGTAGAAAATGTCAGTCTGGAAAATTCCATTCTGGTTGGCTCTAGTGTGTGTATATACACTGCAGCATGGAGATTGGCAGCCCCCAAGCTTGGCTGATCTCAAAAAGCTAAGCCAGCCTGGATCAGATCTGGTTAGAATTTGGATAGGAATCACCAGGAATACCCAGGACTAGAAAGTTGAAAAAACATCTGGATGAAAACAGCAGCAAATCGTTTCCAAACTGTGGCCAAGACAGCTTTACAGATGTGTCTATGCAGTCACAAGGATCTGAGCTTGACTTGGAGACTTTACTTTTTATATTATTTATTTATCGTATGGCACATTCACATCGCAATTCAGTGGAATAAAAGCACAAAAGATAAAATACAAAATATGAAATATAAAATATAAAATTATAAACATATGTCTAGATTACAAATATAACTTTTTATTTCATTTGTCACAGCCAGGAAATAAATACTTTTTATATATGTGTGATTAAGTGTGTACAGCTAAGATATACCCGTGCAAAGCGTCGGCAACAAAAGCTAATACAGATAAGAGCTAATGCAGATTTGAAGTTGATGTGTAAATCTTCCTGATTCAATTTTTTCCCCCAATGAAAGCATATTTTGGATCAGTTACTCCCTATAAGAGATAGTCAAATGTAGAATTATGTTTTTTTTAACATCATAGCCACATGGATTTTAGCAGTAACTATCCTCAAAGGAGTGATGGCACATATTTTTTAAAACATGGAAGTACAGGTAGTCCTTGGCTTACATCCATTCGTTCAGCGACCATTCAAAGTTATGACGGCGTTGAAAAAGAATAGGCATATGACCAATCCTTGAAGTTTCAGCCATCGCAGCACCCCTGTGGTCACATGATTGTGAACTAGGCACTCGGGTGCCTGGCTTGTGATTACGATGTCACAGGGAGCTGTGGTTGGGTGATCATCATTTGTGACCTTCCCTGCTGGCTTCCCACAAGTCAATGGGGAAGCTGGCAGGGAAGATTGCAAGTCACTCTGGTAAGTCCCCCCCAGCCTTCCTGCACTTGCACTGTACCGCAGCACCCTCCTCCCCTGGACTCTCCCAACTCACTGGCAGCCTGTGCTGGGCCTCCCAGGGTCTCCCTGGCTTCCTCTACCCCCACACGGCACCCCCACAATCCTTACCTGGGACTCCCGCTGCTCCCCACTTAGTAACCTGTGCATCTTGGGGTTACAAAGGCAACTAGGACTGCTGGGATTGTCGCTAAGTGATCCGGCCATATGATGTTGCACTTTATAACTGCATCGCTTAGCGATGGCAATCCCGGTCCCAATTGCCGTCGTAACCCGAGAGCTACCTGTGTTTAATGTCAAAACTCTGGGAAATTTCCCACAGTTGTCTTTCAAGCAAGCCAGCAACTGCCACTGCCGTGCTTTGTGGGTCAAATTCACTCTTCTTGCATCTGGCTTGACAGCAACTGTGAATTCTGGATTCTGTATGTGACGTTTCTACCAGTGAATTCTGATTAGGTTTGACCCCAGCAAGGAAGAAAAGATGCATAGAATCCTGGATTGGAAGGCCATTTAGGGCACTGAATTCTACTCCCTGCTTAGGGAAAGAATCCAAATTAAAGCATTTCCAGCTGTCTAGCCTCTGCTTGAACATATTCAGTGAAGGGGAGTCAACCACTTCTTGGAGTAACTGGTTCTGCTGTTAAACTTGTACTCAAAATGTCATGGGGTTCTTTCGGGCTCTGCTGAATCAAGATATATTATGCATTCCTATAATCTACTAAATTACATTAGATAAAACATTGCTTATTATTTAAAAATGTTTATTAAAAATATGTTTTGGTCATTGGCATATCTATAGCAACCACTTGCACTTGATTACTTCAAAACTTGATTTGCTAGGCAATAGAGGCTGAGACTGGGAGCAAACGATCTGTGGACATCATCAAAACAGGGTATTTTCAAACTGGTTCATGTACAAGGTCTGACAAGAGCAGGGAAGTAAAACACATTAGAGGATATTTTTCTGTTTACAATATTTCTGCCCTGCTTTCTACTTTTAAAAAGCCTTCAAGACAGCTTGCAAAGCAAATACAATTATGTCTATAAAACAGAGGTTAACAATATTTTCAGGCATTCTGTACAAACAACATTTTTAAAAAGGTCAATTTCTTGCAAGATCATCATTCTAGACATTTCAACAATCTCTCCCCCAAGATCTCACACATTCTTGCATGAACTTTTGGGAGAAGTGATCTCATGAACAGTTCTTTGATTTTTTTTTAAAAAAGGAAATTTTAAATCTTTTATTTATGTTGACCCCAGATACCATGTAGGATCAAAATACAGGTAGTCCTCACTTAACAACCATTTGTTTAGTGACTGTTCAAAGTTACAATGGTGCTGAACAAAGGGACTTAGAGCTGGTCCTCGGATTTACAACCATCTCAGCACCCCCTTGGTCACATGATCATGATCCAGGCACTTGGCAACCAGCTTGCACTTATGATATTTGCAGCATCCCAGGGTCATGTGATTGCCATTTGCGACCTTCCCAGCTGGCTTCTGGCAAGCAAAATCAATGAGGAATCATGTGATTTGATTAACAACCACGTGATTCACTTAATGGCTGCAGTGATTCACTTAATGACCACTGCAAAAGAGATCATAAAATTGGGTGTGACTCACTTAACAACCACCCCACTTAACAATGAATTTTCTGGTCCCTATTGTGGTTGTTAAGCAAGGACTACCTGTAAACAGGAGCTGCAAAAAAGTACAATTGTTCTCACTTTCTGCTTGACTAGTCCTTTTTTTAAGATCTTCACCAAAGACTTAATAAAGATTCTGGTTATAAAAACAGACACTAGATAAACATATATGCACACAATCACACAAAATCAATACTGCT